CCTGTCTAACCCTGGTATATGATTCAATTATTTTTCATAGTTCTTGAATCCTGTCCCAAGCATTTAAGTCTGCTGTGTGGCATAGGGACAAGATTTCTTCATCATAAAGAGCTTGAGCCTATAGGTCAGCATAAGGGCCTTCACCACGAATTTGATCTTGGGAAGTCTCAAGGCCTTTTGCTTTTTCCTGTTGTTCCAAAATTTTGGATTTCTCTCTGAAATAAATTTTATACATCAAGAGAGGTCCATCATCCAGGACTGCTGAAACTAACTGAAAGAAATCATGTGGGGTTGCCCTGATATTAGAAGCCCAAGTCTTTATCATCTCCTTAACAAATCTGGAATGCAAGCCATAAGTTACAACAGCCTGCTTAATTTCTTTTAGATCATTCATTCCTATAGGTATCCATCTACTTTCTTTGGATCCTTTTGAGCCTTTAGAACCTGATGCTTTGTCAGAGTAGATTTCAGTGTAGAAAGCTAAAACCCTGGGTAAGTCATCTCTGACAGCTACTGGTGATGTTTAATCCTGTCCTTGTGCCTTCTTTCCCTGTTCATCAGCTCCAGTAATTTCCTCAATTATTTTAAATCTTTTTATTATTGTCTTTTGTAAAGCTTGAATCTCCTGGCCTATATATATATTTGTAGTGATTTCATTGATGCACCTAGTCTCTGGTCCTCACTCTGCACATGTGATTTCAAAGTCTGAATTTTCTCCTTTAAAGATAACATCTAATCCTTGGACTTTACTTGAGTATCACTCAGATTGTTAACTTATTGTGACTTTTTGACAACTTTCGATTGTCAAATTCAACAGCATGAATTCTTTCTAATAACTTCTTAATACCCTTAGATATAGATTCAGTTTTGTCTGTAATAGCATTATGTTTTTCAGGTAACCTTTGATTTTCTATGATATTAATCCTGTCAATTAGCTGTATATTATAAGTCTGTAAAGATAATTTCATTCCTAAAAGTGCCATATTCTTCCTTAATGATAGAATATGGAGAAGAAAACTGAACTCTAATACCCAAAAAACTGAAGGATCACCATAGTCATACAAACCTCACCTAATGCAATCTATAGTATTAGCAAAAAAGTTACTAAAAGTTGCACTGTTAATGAAGTCTGCCATAATGATTTATGTATTACCTGTTATTGTCCAGCAGATGTCATGGTTGCAGAGTTGCGACTAGAAGTTACGCAACCGGTGATAACAGGAATAGTCCTGGGCTGCTTTACTTTCTGCCTTGGTACTGTTTAAATACTGTAGCAGGATGGACCTGCTAGTTGGAGTTTCTGTCCTGCCCAGTTCCCACAGCCAGCAGGTCCCAAAGAAAATCACACAGAGGTCTCCATAAGTTATAAACTAATTGACCCCTTAGCTCAGGCTTCTTATTAGCTCTTATAACTTATACTCACTCATTATTCTTATCTATGTCAGCCACATGGCTTGGTACCTTTCTCAGTGGGGTAGGTCACATCTTGCTTCTTCCGTGATCTTGGGAAGACTCGGAGGAATGGGCTTCCTCCTTTCTATAATTCTCCTGTTCTCATTTCCGTGCCTCTATTTCCTGTCTGGTTGACCCGCCTATACTTCCTGCCTGGATATCGGCCAATCAGCATTTGTTTAAAACATAACTGATAGAATATAGAATTGTCCCATACTACTTCCCCATCTCTTTTTTAAAACAAAATAAAATAACCATAGTCCATTTTTGGGGAATGTGGGTGTAGTATTCCAGGCTACTTCCTGCTGGTTGGGGGTACTGATAATCTTTTGGGAACCTAAAGAAAATTTAGAATTATGACCAAGTCCTGACTGGAGTATCCTGTGAGGCTTGATCGTCTCAGGCAGCCTGTTTTCTTCAGCCCTCCTTAACCACAGAAGAAGACTTCACAATTCCTCATCCCAGGGTTCTTGAAATGTGGGTGACAATTTCAAGTCTGGCTGCCTCCTTGAATCCTATTTGCAGGATCTTTCCTGTGTTGTTGCTCTTTAGGAACAGAAAATTCCTTAGGCCTCCCTCTTACAAGTCAGAAGATTAGCTGAGTGGGGTCTTGCCCGGAGGACACCCTCACTTTATTACAGTTTGGATCCAGCCTTATTAAAATCTACTTATCTCTTTAGCACAAGCCTGGGTTTCAATATTAAATTCCTCTGGTGCTCTTTTTCTCCTCAAACATTTTATATTAATTTTTGTTCCACCTGCTCATTTTTATTATATGTTTGCCTAAGGGTATCAGTAGTAACCACATGAGAAAGTCAGTATTAGCTTGTTTTGAAATTGCTCTGTCAGCAATATTGTCTTTGGGTTTCTATTGCTATGAAGAGACACCATAACCTCCAAGAAAGCTACACATCCTAATAGTGCCACTCCTTATGCACTTATGGGGGTCAATTGCATTCAAACTACCACAGAAGTTAATCTCTTACTCTTCAGTTTATCCTCAGGCATATTCATATTTTTTATATGCACACCAACTCTTGTTTTTTTCTTTTAACTTTATTTGTGTTGATGTGAGGATGTCACATCTTCTGGAACAGAACTACAAACAATTGTGAACTGCTATGTGAGTGCTGGGAAGAACAACCAGTGCTCTTAACCACAGAGCCATCTCTCTAGCCCTCAGACAGGTTCTTATTACAAGGGCAGAAAGCAGCCCCATTCTTTGTAAAAATATCACAAGAATTGTCTCTATCCCCATTACTAATATTGCTCCCTTCTGAGACCTCTTGAGGTGGACTCCCACGGTCCACAGCACTACTGCCACACTCCTGCTAGGATGGCCCATTAAGCTCAGCACTCAGTGTTCAACCATTTTCCTTATCCAAAGCCCAACTCTCTTCTATATTCCTACAAAACAAAACAAGGTCAGTCCTGTCAAGTTCTATCCCACTCCCTGGTACCAACTTCTGTGTTAATTACTTTTCCCTTGCTGTGGTGAAACACCATGAGCAAAGGATGTCATAGAAGCATACAGTTTTTCTTATAGTGTCAGAGGGTTAGTGTCCATGATGACAGCAAAGACATGAATGGCAGGAACAACTTAGAGCTCACACCTCAATCCAGAGCCATGAGGAAGAAATAGAGCACCTTGGCAATGGCATGGGTTTTTGAAACCTCAAAATCCATACCCAGTGACACACCTCCTCTACCAAGGCCACACCCCAATCCTTCCCAAAGGCTTCCACCCACTGATGACAAAGTCATCAATCACAAAGGCCCACAGAGGTCATTCTCCCTTAAACCACTACAGGGTCCTTCTTTTGTCTGTGAGACCTCAGAGGATTCTTAGATATTTGTTTTTGTAGGCAGGTAAGTCATTTGTTTGACTCTGTCTTTCAGCTGAACCCATTTTAGAAATCATAAAACTGAGTCCAGGAATGCAGCTCACACACTTGCTCAAGGTCACATAGGTGGAGGGCAAAGTGTGAAGTAAAGTGAAAACAACTTGACTCTATCATTATTTTTTTCTAGTTATTCCTGAGAGACACAGTCTTCATTTTTGGTTGACAAACCCAGTCCAGAAAATTGTCTCAGAGTAACATTGGCCACCATCACTGTTTGCTCCTCACAAGGAATTCATTTCATTGTGACTTCTGCCCTGTGGCTTAGCACTCCAGATGGAGCTAAGTTCTTGCTCAGCAAAAGTGAGTGTTTTATTACTCAGTGTTACAACACTAAGACTGTTGATCTCAAAGCTATCACATTCCAGGTCTCTAGAGTTTCAAGGTAATTGTGAAAATCAGAAGACCAGAGGTGCTTTTGTGTTCATTACTTTTCTCATTGCTATGACCAAATAAATACCTAAAGAGAAATGACAAACAAGGGGGAATTTACTTTGGATCCTAACTTCAGGTTATTCTCCTTTGCAGCAGGAACACATACAAACCACTGGGAGCAGTTTGAAGCTGTGGTAGCAGGGTGTGAGATTATTACTCATATCTTGTGGATCAGGAGGCAGGAAGAGGACATAAAGTGGATGGTGCCATAAACTCAACACTCATCCCCCAGGTCTCACTTCTCTCAGTCCCATCTCATAAAGGGTTCTACAACCTTTTCCAACAGCATCCTCAGCTGCAGACCAAGAGTTCAGACACATGAGTTATTAGGAACTCAAAGTGTTAAGAGTTACTTTTTGACCATGCTCAATTAGAGCAATCTGAGGCCATTTGCCAGGCATAAGCCTCAACAAAAACACCTCTTGTCATGGTAGAAACATGGGCATTTAAAATATAGTGAAGATATTTTTATAGACATAGAGTATGAAGATGTGAATGGAAATAATAAACTGGAGAAACATATAGTATAATATTGGGAAGGAATTCCAGTGAATACTGAAATTTGCCCACAATTAAGTTCCAATTGCTTTAAATACTCCTGATTCCAAAGGAGTAAGCAAAAAACTACATTAGCATGATACATAGGAAATGAACATATCAATTGAAGGTTGTGGGCTACATCCATAGTTAAACATTTGCTAGAACAAAACAAGTCAGGCTATACCCTAGACCAAAACACTATGTAGGCAAACCCCTTCCTGGGTGGAATACAATGTTATCTCCATAAAGAAACTGGAACCTTAGTTGTATCTTTACACTTTTGTTTGAGGTAGGAACATATCTACTTCTTTATTTCTGAAGTACAAGTTCTGATTATTAGCCACACCTGTTCACAATAACCTTGAGAGAACAGAACTCCTGGTCTACATCTAGGTGAGATCTTTGAGGAAGAAGCAGAATCACCTTGAAGGAAGTGGAGGTAAGTTACAACTCTCTGACCTTTGTCAATTTGGAAATAGGCTCACATTTCCAGGTCTCCACAGCCAGACCTGTGCTTGCACACAGAATGCACAGCTTTTATACCTACAGGCTGTCTAGCTGCATTGTGACATTCTTTGTCATGGAGTCACCAGAGGTCAGAGCTGAGGATCTGTTGGGAGATCTGGTCTCATCTACTGAAGGACAAGGAGTCTGAATACCCCATCAGTGAAGGGCTGGCAGTTCCCAGAGCTGGGACCAGCATCTAGAATCCCAAGCTGTCAGTGTGGCATTGGGGGCAGCATGGAAGGCTCTCCTGTGTGCTTCACTTGTTCTCAAGAAAGGTCATGGGAAGTTCCTCCAGCTTCCAGATATAGACTGCAAGCAGAAGCCACCTTTCCTTGTGCTGCTGGTGACTTCCTCCCACAAGCAGCTGGCAGCTCGAATGGCCATCCGCAAGACATGGGGTAGAGAAACAGAAGTGCAGGGACAGCGTGTGAAGACCTTTTTCCTCCTGGGGGCCTCAGACAGTACCAATGAGATGAATGCCACAGCTCAGGAAGGTAAGCAGTACCGTGACATCATCCAGAAGGACTTCAAGGATGACTATTACAACTTGACCCTGAAGACCATGATGGGCATGGAATGGGTCCACCACTTTTGTCCTCAGGCAGCTTTTGTGATGAAGACAGACTCAGACATGTTTGTGAATGTTGGCTATCTGACTGACCTGTTGGTGAAGAAAAACAAAACTTCCAGGTTCTTCACGGGCTACATAAAACCTCATGAAATTCCTATCAGGGAAAAGTCCAGCAAGTGGTTTATGAGTAAATTTGAATATCCTTGGGATAGGTACCCACCTTTTTGTTCTGGTACTGGTTATGTCTTTTCAAGTGATGTGGCCAGCAAAATATACAATGTCTCAGATAGCGTTCCATTCCTCAAGCTGGAGGATGTGTTTGTTGGGCTCTGCTTGGCCATGCTGAAGATCCGGCCTGAGGAACTCCACACTGAACAGACCTTTTTCCCAGGTGGTTTACGCTTCTCCATGTGCCGCTTTAAGAAAATTGTGACCTGCCACTACGTGTCACCCCCGAACTTACTCACGTACTGGCAGGCACTGGAGAACTCTCAGGAACAGGATTGCTCTTCTGTCTGAGGGGAACCTGTGGCACAAACTTCCAATAACTTTTGGTGATACTTTGGGAACATCTGGGATGGCCTTGCTGGGAACTGTCAGGAGTAGAGAGAGAAGGAGGAGGAAGGCAAAGAGTGCTGTTCTCAATGCCCTGAATACACTAGAGTGGATGTACACACAAGCAGAGTCAAGACTTGTTCCCACTTGGCACCCAGAGCAGTAACAGATCTAGACTTTCAGTTTTTTGCACTATGTTCTCAAGGTAGAGACATGCCCTCATCTGCTCATTACAGAGCTCAGTATACATATGAAGCCATGGATGTGATCATTCCCATTTTACATGTTAGGAACAAACAACCATGGCCACTTACTTGTCCAAAGACTCCCAGTCTGCAGATGGAGCAGGAATGAGAATCAAGTGCTATCATAATTCAGTTGGTGGTTCCCAACTGAGTGTCCCATTTTTTAGGAGAAGCTAGTGGTAGAAGAAGCTTAGGGTGGGAGTTTCTTGAATGTAACTAGCATTCTTCAGGCTCTTTCCTGAGTCCCTTGCCCCTCAATTCCCAATCCTTCTACTTTTTAAATGCGAAGTCTGGGATAAACCAGATTTTTCAGCCCTCTCCCCTCACTTGAATCATGTAGCTATGCAGTGAGTCTTTTAGCCACTGCTTACTCAATGCATCTTCAAGCTGAGACATGCACACCTGCAGACACTAGCTTACCTCCATGCTAGAGAAAACTGGGTTATCTGACCACATAAATCACACTGAGAAGCCATTGGTGAGTATTTCTATATAGGTTGATCACACCACACTGCTGAAATCCTAATGAGGGTGATGTCTCCTCTGAGTCTTTTGGAACACCTTGTCTCTGCTGCAGATGGTTGATGGATTGATGGTGATCAGTTGCAGCTCTGGAGCACTTCAGACCTCTAAGTTCAAACTCAAGTGCCACGGACCGTCCCTCTGTGAGACTGCTATCCACGGGAGGACAGGGTTGAAGGATAGGATAGTCAGGATACGACGCAAGGGAATGACAGACAGACACACTGGTAGTGAGAATCTGCTGCAATTTTACTTCTGCAAAGCTTCAGTTTATATACAAAACAGATCAAAAAACTTGGCAGGCTCACTGCATCACCCCATTCAGGGTTTCAGACATAAATCAAGGCTAAGCACAATCAAACAAAACTCCTTCTACATGAGTAAGATGTTGGCAAGGTGTTGGCAAGGACTTTCAGTTTTGTCTCTTAGGACTCTGTCTCGCACCATTAACCACATTCTACCGTGGGGGACTAGTTTTTATTTATAGTCTTTTGTTCTTCTGTTTCATTATTAATAAAGTTTCCAAGGCTCATGTGGCGTGGGGCATGCTTCAGTTCCTCAAGGACTGCTTTAAAGAATAGTGGGGCCGAGCCAAGCACATACTTTGATTTCTTGGTAAGCGGTCAGCTGTGAACAGGAAAGATAAGAAATACAGAGAAAGATCATACAGGGTGCCAGGAGGGCTCGCTCTCAAGGCCATCTCCAGATACGAGATCTGCCTACGGCATCAGGTCCTATCTTGACCACTGATTGCCAGGGGGACCACCTGGGGCTTCGCTCCAGGAAGCTCTAACCCCAATCCTTCAGCAGGCAAAAGCCAGCGCAGAGGCATTTTGTCATTACACGGCAGTCACTGCTGTGGACGTGGCACTCAAGGGCAGCCAGTCACAGGCATGGCCTGTATTCATGTCCAGGGACTTTGCTGGAATCTGGACTGGTCCAATCTCCTGGGATGCAGATTATGGAGGTAGATCCAGTGGAAGGGCTCTCCCTGCATCTGTGATCCTTCCCCACCTCTACACACTGGGTTTATCACATGGGTATAGATCTGTTGAGTGTTTTGGTTTGGAATGTAACTCTGAAGGTTTTCAGAGCTCTAAAAATATGGGCTCATGGCCATTCAGCCACTGCCACCAGTCTCATAATTTTCCTCTGTATCATTGGAATTATTGATTTCCCATGCGTTTTACTTTACTAGATTTTACTGTGTGTTTTTGGAGCCAAGGCTACATGTGACTGTGTGACTATAAACATTGCAATATGCTTTCATCTGAACACAGGAAAACTTACTCAAGTCAGAACTGTTACTCCTCCAGTTGGAGGAGGCTAGAAGCTTCTTCTAGTACCTCATTTCCACACTTGTTCCTGTCCCTCCTCTGAGTCTCTTCCATAACTCTTGGGGGGAATTCTTCTGTCTGTGACATTCTTCAAAACCATACAGCACCAAGTTCTGGACCCTTAGTGTACTTGGAACTACATACACTGTCAAAACCAAAACCAGCCAGTTCTTCTCTTGGCAGAGAGGGAAGCCAAGGCTTGTAACAATATGGTGGCTTTAATGTCTAGAGGATGAAAGAGCTGGCATCAGGACCCAGCACCAGCTGCTCTGCGTCAGACCTTCCCTTTATTCATTCCTTCATTAGCCATGTTTGCTCATTACATTCACACACATCATGAGCAAGGTCAAGGTGAGGGTCTCCAGACAGCAGACCTGAGTGAGCATTCAGTGCAGAGAAGCTGGTCAGGCACAGGTTCTCTTGGTCTATGCACAGTGCATGGGAGCATAAGCAGGTGTGGTCACCTGGGCCCAGACTTGCTGTTGCATTGAAGATGCAGGCATTCTTTGAGAGTAGCTGCACTTCATTCTTACAATCAAACTGGTTGTCAGCAGAGGCAACTGAGGTGACTCAGTGACTCGCCCAGGGCCTGAGATGCAGTGGAGGCCCAACCCTCAGCCTTCTCCATTGCACAACATTAGCAACCTTCCTGCACGCTTACTTCTCTCAGAAGCCTGGGGCTGGTGCTACCCAAGGAGTCACCAGCATCTCCCTTTGCCCGCACAATGCCTCCTCTGTCCTGGGTGTTGGCTTGAATGTTGGTCTACTTCTTTCTGGTTCAGTTTGAATTCTGTGACTTGGCACTCAGGCCCTCAGTGAAATTCTTTCATTTAGGCTAACTTTATCATGAACAGAAACAATTTTTTTCAAAGGCTCCTGCAAACAGTGATCTCCGAGGCGCTTTGCTTATTTTTATTTCTCTGGCTCTTCATGATGTAAACCCTGTGTGTGAACACTGGCAAAGATGTATTAGAATTAAACTCTCAATCACACCTCTAGCGTTTGCATAGGTCTTTCATTTGGCTGAGAATTTTCTGGGAAAATTCACCGGGGGCTTGCATCTTGTGTCTCCTGCCTTTTAACCTAACTTTCAGGAAAAGGCAGATCCTCAGAGATGGCTTTAGATAGTTCCTGGATGTGAAGATTGAAACAGCCCAAACTCAGAGTTGAAACAGGCTGTATGAGCCTGAGATGAATGAACTGGAATGAAGCATAATAACAATAGCAAACATTCTAATTTATTAAAAGCAGTATTCTCTAATTTTCAGACATAGTCATTTTATTTCTTTTTTTTTTATTGAGAATAAGAAAAAAAGTTTCCGCCTCCTCCCAGCCTCCCATTTCCCTCCCCCTCCTCCCACTCTTCTCCCCTCCCCCCACTCCTCTCCCCCTCCCTCTCTAATCCAAAGAGCAGTCATGGTTCCCTGCCCTGTGGAAAGTCCAAGGTCCTCCCCGCTCCGTCCATGTCTAGGAAGGTGAACATCCAAACTGGCTAGGCTCCCACCAAGCCGGAACATGAAGTAGGATCAGAACCCCTTGCCATTGACCTTGGCTTCTCATCAGTCCTCATTGTTCGCCATGATCAGAAAGTCCGGTTTTATCCCATGCTT